GAGGCCAAGATGGCCAAACTTTGGACATATTGTCAGGAGGAACCAGTCTCTAGAGAATAATATCATGTTTGGTAAGGTGGAGGGTCAGAGAAAAAGAGGAAGACTCCCAACGAGATGGATTGGCCAAGTGACAGCATCGATGGACTCAAGTGTGGCAACAGTAGTGAGGTTGGTCCAGGATCGGCTAGTGTTTTGTTCTGCTGTGCATAAGGTTGTTATGGGTCAGTACCAACTCGATGGCATCTAACAACAACATTTAATGGAGAATTGGGCTACTGCACCAATAAAAAAATTAAAATAAATTGGAGTGTAGAATTATCAAAATTTGAGTTATACTTTTTTAAAATCAAGGGAACAAAAATTAAAATTTGGTTTATCTAGACATCTTTGGATTCTAAGGTAAGTATGTCTTAAGTTTTTAGACTAAAAATACCTTTTTGTTACAGCCATCTTGAAATAGGTCAGCATGGTCCTACATAGGTCTGGACATCAGGAAAGATCTTATTTTCTAAGACTGTGAAATAATGAGTTTTGTATTGCTGTTATGGTGAGTCCTGGTGTGGTGCTGTAGGATAAGCACTGGACTTCTAAGCATTAGGTCAGCAGTTCAAACCCACCAGTCGCTGTGAGTCAGACCAGACTCAATGACACTTAGCAACAACAGTGTTGCTTGGATGGTGGGAGAGTATTAACATTTTCTGATAATTAATACAGAATTCCAGACTGTTAGCTAGGAGTAAAATTTTAAAGAGATATCAGCAAAAGAATTTTAGTAAAGAAATTTTTGCTGACAAGTTGTATGCTTTCTTTATTAACATTAAACATCTTCAACTGTTATTAAAATTAGAATCTTACTTTGTGATAATGTTTTATGTCATTGTTCTGTTTATTATTATCATAGTTCTCTAGGTGATATTGGAGATTGAACCAATTGTGATACTGGCCCAATTATTATTTATGCATTCTTGTTAACCTCCCTTCTTGCATTATCTGCAATTGAATTGCTGTAGACATGCCCTCTAGAGTTACCATTTAACCAAGTTGTTACTTATGTAGGTCACTAGATGGCCTGGTGAGCTCTTACTCAGCCTGAGAGACCATTCTTCAGTAAATATTTATGTGCTCTTTCTCCACATCTGGTTCTGTATTTGACACTCAAGGTACAGTGGTAATCAACGGAGAAATGATAATTGCCTTTAGGCATCAGGGGGCAGAAAGACTATAAAGAAATAATTAAAATATTTAGTAAGTGACATAAAAAAAAGTCAGATTATTAAGAATGAATAATGAGGTTGGGAAGTGAAGGTAGAGATGAGAGACCGAGTAGTCATGGAAGGCTATTCTGAGATAAAACTAGTAAATTGAGAAATGTTTGAAGAATGAAAAGGAACTATCATCTGTAGAGTACAGGGAATAGTGATTTTGGTAGTGGGAACAGATAGCAAGTGTAAAGTCCTTTCGGTGGGAAGAAGCTTAGTTGGATAACGGGATGACATTTTTCCATTATTCAAAGTTACGTTTAGAAAGTTAGTTCTATATCTCATTGTTTCCTTTGCCTAACCTTAACCTTAGGTCTCTGTCCAGAAGCTGGGTAAAATATGAAAAGATGAAATATTTTTCAGAATATATTATATCACTATCTGTATAACACAGAACTTATGAATATTTGTGACCCTGCATTCAATTTTCAGTTACATAGACTTCAAGTGTGATTCGGAAATCCTAGAATAAAAAATAGAACTAATTCCCCATTATGTTAACACTCGTTCCTAAAGTTGTATCAAAATTCTAGCTAAATGTTAGAGGATTTTTTTTTTTTCTTGCTTTGTAACTGAAACAATGCCTTATCAAAACAACATAGAGGGTTTTTTTTTTTTTTTTTCTTTTCAATTTTCTTAGTCCTAATATAAAAATCCTGCCTATTAAATTTTTGTTGTTTTTAAGGCTAAGTTCTTGGCTGTGAAATGTTATAATCATTGTTCAGTGGTATCATCCTCTGCTTTTTGGTGTTTCAGCAAAGTTAAAGGAAAGTGTATTCCCCTCAAATCTTTTCTTTTGCCTTTAATAAATTGGTGAACTAAGATTATATTCAAGGTTCTCTGCTAGACACTGTACATTATGATTTCTGACTTTATTATCGCAGCCTCAAGCTCTGTTTTGTACATTATGCAACTAAGACTTAGGAGTTTTTAGTAACTTAGCTAAGGTTCCCACAATCGATAATTGTCACAAATGGAATGCAAGGATTTCTGACTAAAATCTAAGATCTTGCCAAATCAAGTATGTCTGATGCTTTTAAACAATAGTTATTTAAAAGTTTCTTGGTCTTTTTTTTTTAACCATCAAATTTCTGAAAACTAGTATTAAAACTGTTTTCTTTATTATACTCTAGATCCTTTTTATAAACGGCTAGATAATAAATAATTTTGACTTTATTACAGCAACTGTACTTTTGTAACATTAGAGTACCCCTAGTTTGTAGCTATATGAATGGGTAGGGCTGCGTTTCAATAAAAATCTATTTGTGAAAAATTGACTGCTACCAGGCCAGTTTGCTAATCCCTGCAGCAGAAGATGCTTTTTTGAGATTTAATTTTTCTCTTTATTATAATGCCTCCTTTATTCTAAAATTAGTACATTAAAAACTTTAGTTAATTCAGGTATTTAGTTAGTTATGTTATCTTATTAGAGATGTTGTATTCTACTTGGCTTGTGATTCTAACCTGATTATTAATTAGAACACTTATTAGAAATCAGAGCTGCAACTTAAACAATGGTGGGTTTAGTATTACTTTGTAAGAATACTCTGAAAATCTGTCTTTGGATTTTCAAGGACCCTCAGTGGCTATAAAACAATGTACTTTGTTTTGATAGTTGATTGAGATGTTAGAGATCATTTAGCCCAAACTCTTTTTAAAGAAGCAAAATTATATGTCCAGGTTTAAATAGCTACTTACTAGCAAATCCAGAATATGATTGCCTATATCTTGACTTTTAGACCAATGTGCTGTCTCCATTTTTGTTTTAGGTTCCTCTGCTTTGACTAGGACCCTAACTTTAGCCACTGACAGAAAACCTTAAAGATAGGGAATCAGATGAGCAGCTAGATTTTTGAAGATAAAATATTTGTCTGAATACTTTCTAAAAGGAATTATTCTCCAAGTTCACATAAAAATCCATTTGTATATCTGATGAAAGAAATAAAAGATGATTGGCACACAGCCTTAGCACTCAAAGTATTTATAGTTCAGATGGGAAATATACATGCAAAATTATATTTTGTACAGTTTATGAGTGAGATTAATACTCAATTATATAAGTGATAAAGCGAATTAAAGGAGGAAACACACTTTCAGTTATGGTATTCATAGAGGCTTTGCCAAAAAGAATTAGGAAACTCAAGTTATTTCAGGAAGGAAAGTAGGATTAAAATGCTAAGATTGGCTTAGGAAACAATTTAGATCTACCTGGATTGTCCATATTTAGTAGAGGACATGAAAATGTTAATATAGTCATACTATGTATACCTTGAATGCCAAGAGTCTTTGGCCTTTTTCTTTAATAAGGTTTGAATAGAGATAATAATACAAGAGGCTTCAAAAAGTTCATGGGAAAATTCCACTGTATTTCAATTCCATTTTTTCATGAACTTTTTGAAGGCTCCTTGTATAATAATAAATCTAAATCTAATGGAGTCCTGGTGTGGCGCTGTGGGCTAATGCGTCAGACTGCACAGTCATTTGAACTGCAAGGTCGGAGGTTCAAGCTTACCAACTGCTCTTTGGAAACCCTATACAGGGTTGCTATGGGTCAGAATCGACTTGATGGTACTTAACAACAGTGCAGGTTGGGTGTGAGGAGGAGAGGGGCACAGGGATGAGTTGGGAACCTGTTGCAGAGGTCAAGAGGTGATGTATATTCAGTCACTTGTTTTTTTCTTTCAGGATCTGGATGCTGCTGTAAGTGTACAGTCTGGGGATTGGTTGGAGCAGGATTCTGTTTCAGATCAATTCAGTGTAGAATTTGAAGTTGAATCTCTAGATTCAGAAGATTATAACCTCAGTGAGGAAGGATCAGAACTCTCAGATGAAGATGATGAGGTATGTTTTCATCTAATTAGAAAGTTATTAGGGTTATCTTGTATGTTCATTAGCTTTGATAAAATGAAGATACTTGTATATTCAGGTTTCCCTTGAAATCCTTATCTTTACATTTGTCTAGACTAGTGTGTTGATTGTGTACTTGAGGTTTTCACAGTTCCATATTGTCTACTCTATATTCTCATAACTAATGCCAAGACATCAGTTGTTGTTAAGTACTGTCAAGTGAGTTCTGCCCCATAGAGACTCTGTATAGGGTTTCAATAGGCAAAAAAAAAAAAGACAGTAGGCTTTGATGAACATTCTTTTAGTGGCCTGTTCACTTTTTCACATTTTTACTGTAACTAACTCCCCCTTTTGCCTTGATTTGCTCTTTCTGGAAGTAAAACATGCACACAGTTAAAGCCAGTTAGTACCTCTGATCTGTTTTCTGGAGGTAACTACCTTCAGCATTTGTCACTATTTGCACTGTTGTTTAATACTTCCATATGCATAAAATAAAAACATTTGTACTGATTTTTTTTCCTTTATTCATTTTAAACATTCTATTTACTTCTTAGCGTGGTGGGTGGTGAGGCTTTCATTCTCTCCCGCTTTTCCCTATTTACAGCTTGACCATTTGCCTCTGGTCTCAGGATTTCTCCCATAAGTAACAGACATAGTTGTTAGGACTGAGGAAAGCCTGGTGATGAGTAGATGCTTATGGATTTTGTTTGATCAGGTGTATCAAGTTACTGTCTATCAGGACCAGGAGAGTGATACAGATTCATTTGAAGATGACCCTGAACTTTCCTTAGCTGTAAGTATCTGTCAACTTTTTTAAGGAATCAAAAAATAACACCGAGATCTACATTAGGAAAATAACGTCTGGTCTATAAGCTCAAGAAGGAATTTTTATAAAGGTAAAATTGGTAGACTTAAGGCATTACTAATCTTTATTTTCAGGTATGTACAGCAATAGTACACTCTTATTGCCAGTGGACTCAACACAGCTTTACCTATTACCAGTATGTTGATAGTCTTGTTGAATGTAAACATTTAAAATAATTGTATTAGAGAATGTGAGAGAATTTACCATTAAAGAAATTAGAACTTTAATATTTTTCCTCATGCCTCACTGTGTTCCTGAGGTATATTGGAAGTACTTGTGTGTTTTGTTTTTTTTTTAAAGCTAAGCATTATTGCTTTTGTTCCTTAAATTGCCTTTTATAATATTTGAATAGGAAATAAGTCACTTTTTCTGAATTGGAAAAAAATACTACCCAAATGCAAAAAAAAAAAAAAAAGATGAAATTGCAAAACTCAAGTTTTTGTTATATAAGAAAGTAGCAATTTAAGTAATTAACTGATTTGGTTGAGGTCAAGTTGAGTGTTTCAGACATAAATTTTGCAAAATGGCTTAGGTGAAGCACCTTTTTTATTCTTATATTGCATAACAGTTGTCTAGTTTTTTTGACAACTTGAAGAACCAGGTGGGAGAACAGTCCACCCGAATTGCTGCTTCCTTATTTGTCAGGCATTTGTCAGGAAGGACACCTTATGGCAAATTTTACATGTGCAATGTACTTAGGCAAGAGCTGTGCTACAGTTAGGTAGGGAGGCTGCTGGTACACGGGGAGTAAGTTGTCCAGATTTCGTGTTGGAAAGCTTTAGGAGAGAATTGGGATAAGGAAGAGACATGGGGTCCTCACAGAGATGTTAGTACAGAACAGATGATAGACAAGTAGGAGAAAAACATTTTGAATAGCGATCATGAATAGCAACCAAGGATGGCAGAGTTTAGCTGACAGAGATTGCTGAGAAGGATAAAAAGTCCATTATGGAAACTTAGGAAAATTCAGCTGAGCCCTGACTTTCAAGTACGTTTAGCAAATCTTAGTCCATGAAGGGATGTAGCACTATAGTATAAGCACCGGACTGCTAACCGCAAGGTCAGTGATTCAAACCCACTAGTTGATCCTCAGAAACCCTATACAGGATCACTATGAGTCGGAATCGACTCACCTGCACTTAATACCACCACCAAGTCCATGGAAAATTGAGAGGTTTTGCTCTTTCTGTAGCAGTCAAGTGTCCTCTAGATAATCAGGGTGGACTCTAGGTACAGAATCCTGAGTTCACCCTCTAAAGAGAGTATAAAGTTCCATAGCACTGCTTCAGCTAAACAACTGTGTTTATTTGTCAGCATTCTAACGGGTAACTACAGTTACGGCTGTTATTATAGTGAATACATTTTTAGTTTTACAGTTCTCCAGAATAGTGTGATTGGGGGAATAAATCGCATACTTTAGGAGAAACTGTTGGACATTGAATGTTTTAATGTAAAGCGTAAAATGCTGAAAATTGTGCTGTGTGATACATTTTGTCTTAGACATACCAAAGCTGTTAGCATTGCTATGGCTGGTTATTAAAGGGTTCTGGAAATTAACACTCTTGATTTCCTTGAAGGACTATTGGAAGTGTACTTCGTGCAGTGAAATGAATCCTCCTCTTCCACCACATTGTAACAGATGTTGGGCACTTCGTGAGAATTGGCTTCCTGAAGATAAAAGGAAAGATAAAGAAAAAATGCCTGAGAGCCCCAAACTAGAAAACACAACCCAAGCAGAAGAAGGTTTTGATGTTCCTGATTGTAAGAAAACGATACTGAGTACCTCTGAAGAGTCATGTATTGAAGAAAATAATGATAACAAAACAGAAGCCTCCCAGTCTCAAGATAGTGAGGACTATCCTCAGCCATCAACTTCCAGTATCATCATTTACAACAGCCAAGATGTTAAAGAACTTGAGAGGGAAGACTCACAAAGTGTGGAATCTAGATCGCGCCCTATTGCCACTGAACCTTGTGTGATTTGCCAAGATCGACCTAAAAATGGTTGCATTGTCCATGGCAAAACAGGACATCTTATGGCATGTTTTACATGTGCAAAGAAGCTTAAAAAAAGAAATAAGCCTTGTCCAGTGTGTAGACAACCAATTCAATTGATTATATTAACTTATTTCCTCTAGTTGACCTGTCTTTATAAGAGTATCTAATATTTAAATATTAAATCTTTTACACAGACTGTTTACTTACATGAAAGGCAATAATAATATTTAAATGTGTCCTACTTAGAGGGGAAAAAAAATATGCTTATGATAAAAATGGAAATGATTTAAAACAGGGAAGAAGGAGCTACAGCCAACTCAAGTTATATTAAGATCCCAACATATATGTAAACAGAAGTGGAAATTTTCCTGAAAGAAAAAATACTCATTACCTTCTCTTCCCCAGAAGTAGATTACATTAGAGAAGAAATCAATATGAACAAAGACAATAGCTCATGTTTTAAAAAGGAATAATAAATTTCATGTGGCAAAATAACAAATATTTTAGGTTTATATAGCTAGAAACATATAATTCTACTTTTAAACCTTGTGATCCTTGGTTTCTCTTTTCTCTCAGAGCTGCTTACAATATTAATAAGAAAGGAGTTGATGCTAATATTTGGTGCTAAGTAAAAATGTACATGTACTACAGTCTGTTTCACAGAGAGGAAACATAGATGGTAATTAAGAGGGTAATGTCACTTAAAAAGTCAAGGATAGAAACAATCTAAGTGCTGTGGGAAGCACTTAGAATGAGTGGATGTATGAAACAAAGTGTGATATACACTTAGAATGGAATACTTGTTAAATGCCGTCTAGTCATCCCGACTCATAGCAACCCTTTATAGGGTTTCCGAGGAGTGATTGGTGTGTTTGAATCATTGACCTTATGGTTAGCAGTTCAGGGCTTATCTTACAGTGCTACATCATGACTCCAGTGGAATACTACTCAGCTGTAAACAGAAAAATAAGTCAAGCACAAAAGGATAAACGCTGTGTGATCTCAATTCTGTTCTTAGCACTTTCCTAGGGGCAGGGACTCATTCCTTAGGAAACAGCAAGTTTATGTCTGTGGTGATGGGAAAATTGTATCCTTTAAGGATAATGGTTACATAACTGGTATCACTAAGCTTTAAACCAGAAAAAGGACAAAAAAACAAATAAATGTGTTATAATCTTATAATAGCAACAGTTCTTCCGCCCCCCCCCCCAAAAAAAAAAAAAATAAAAACAAAAAAAACCACAAACAAAATGGAATTGTTGATACTAGCATACAGCCAAACACCTCATGGGGTTAGTTCTCTTTGTTCAAAGGCTTTGGATCATGGATTCCTGCGGACTGTCCAGCCTACTACTTGTTTTGAGTTTCTGATCTACCCTTAGTTCTGTGACAAGTGCTTGGGGTCTTAAAAATTTGTTAACTGTCACCTAAGATATAACAATTAGTCTCTTTGCCTGGAGGGACAGGAAGGAGACTTAGGAACTGCTGGACTACAGGGCTTGGTAGCACCATGGACCACTTTTGTCAAAAGACCAAAACTAGATGGCTCCAGGCTACCATAAAACTTCTTGATCAAGGGACTCAAATAGGGGAAAATGGAACAGAATTTCAAATGTATTATAAAAATCCACTGAGTCTTGGAGGAACCCATGAATTTTGCCCTGAGAAAATTTTTGAATCTTGAACTGAAACTATCCCCTGAAGTCCTTGTTGAACTAAACAGTTTAGCCAAGTTAGTAAAGAATGCTTGACTTCAGCATTGTACCTTAGAAAGAATTAGTTCAAATTGACATTAACTAAAGCATAGGTGAAGGAGCTCTGGTAACGTAGGGGTTACAAATTGGGCTGCTAATCTCATGGTCAGCAGTTTGAAACTACCAGCTGTTCCGTGGGAGTCATAAGGCTTTATGCTCTCGTAAAGATATACAGCCTTGGAAACTACGGGATTGCTATGAGTTGGAACCGACTCCACGGCACATAGCAATAAAGCATAGATGAGTAATTTATGAGCTAGCAAGTCTAAGTCAAAAGTGGTGAATTTGCATGGGTAGAGAGTGGAATGGTGTGATACAATATGAAGAATGTAACCATTGTCATTGAACTGTACATTCAGAAATGTTGAATGGGCTTATGTTTTATGTTTTTTTTTAAACCAAGTAAAGCCTTTTAGCTTTCTCAAAACATTTAAGGCTACTTAATAGAATGTGGAGTTCTGAGGGGATGAGTGGGGGTTGGGATTTCAGGATTTTATGGGAATTGTTTCCCCCCTGAAAAACAATTCTAAGACCCTTTGAATGAAGAGCCTTCTGTGGCCTGGGTTACAGTGATTCCTGATAGTTTCTTAGAAATTAGTGAATTTAGGAAGATGAATTCAGAAAGGAGATAAACAGAATGTTCTTTTTCAGAATTGCTTGGAGAGCCATAACTTTCTCTTAAATTGCCTATAAATTATGTGTCACTTTCAAGAATGATAGGGTCGGAACAAGATTCTAGAACATTGTTCAATTGTGTAGATTGACTTGCTTTGTATGTAAATACAAGGAGCTTTATAAAAGGTTCATGGAAAAATTGCATTTCTCTTTTTCATTTTTACAAGAAGGTTTTGAAGCCCTCATGTATGAATATAAGGAACCCTGGTGGTACAGTGGGCAAAATGTTGAGCTTAATTACAAGGTCAACCACTCCTCAGGAGAAAGATGAGGCCATCTGCTCCAGTAAAGACTTATGGTCTCAGAAACCCTAGGAAGCACTCCGACTCTAGCAGAATTGACAATAGTGGTTCTGGTTTTTTTGGTCCGAGGCATCTTCAGCAAAATGTGAATAAACAAATTTTAGGCAAAGGAAGTTGGGTTTTTGTTTAAAAGCCTAGTGTTATTATGCTGTGTGGGACAATTGTCTATACTCAGAATGAGGACAACAGGTTTAGAATAGAATTGAAGGGTAATTTTTATATTGCCATTTTGTGTGGAGAGTTATAAATATTATATCCCCCACCCCCAAGACTTAGAGTGTTCATCCAATATAGGGTTGCTGTGAGTCAAAACTGACTTGAAGGCACTTAACAATCATAGTAGGAAACAAGTAACTGAGAGCATGGATACTTTAGCCAAAGAAATGTTTTCAAATACAGTATAGCTTTATTATCATGGTGGCTCTAAGAGATAATCACTAGACTGAGCCACATGGCTAGCAGTATGAGCTCACCAGCCACTCCTGAGGAGAAAGATATTCTCTGTTCCCACAAAAATTTACAGCCTCGCAAACCTTTTTTTTTTTTAAATGATTTATTGTGAATTATGTGATAATTTACATGGGAGAACATTAGTTTTACATTCATTCTATCGTATTTTGTCTCATTGCCATGGTTACAATCCCCTCCATGCAATCCTTCCCTTGTACCCCCCAGGTCTTCAGCACACACTCGCTCTCCCTCTCTGGATCTAAAGTCTCCAGCTGCTCCATAGCTCCACGTCATCATCTCTGGCTCCATTTCAGGCATCA